GACAGAGAAAGAAACCGAGAGATAAACCCATACATATGAGGGGTGGAATTCATGGGTGAATAGGGTCAAAAGGTAGAAATATAAAAGCAGTAACTTAAAACACACCAAGTTAAAATTGACGAACAAGGCCATATACGTTTTGATTGTTCATATGATATTTCCATTTCTGTTGCAACCCTTTCAGCCTTCCAGCTGTTTTCTCAGTGGGGAAGTATAGAGCAGGAAATTAGTACTACCTTTGCTGTTTTTCTTTTAGTTGTGATATATTTGATTATCCATAAATATGCCATGCCACCATCAAGTAGGTCATTTTAGTATTCTAACCATTTTAACTGATATATTCTAGAGGTCTTGTTTCCTAATATTTGTCATCCTTATTGCAGTACATAACATTATGCTAAAGATCCTATCCAATGCAGTAGGCAAGAAAAAGAAATAGGCAATTATACAAATTGGAGAAAAAAAAATAAAACTGTCTTTATTCAGATGATACGATCATTGATGTAAAAAATTTGATGGAATCTACAAAGAAGCTACTCGAGCTGATAAGTGTGACAAGGTTGCAGGATATAAGATCAGTATACAAAAATCAATTGTACTTCTCCATATTAGCAACAGTCAGAAATTGAACTTAAAAACAAGCAATACAATTTACAATAGCTTCAAAACATGAAATACTTTGGGATAAATCTGACAATATGAGTGCAAAACCTATATACTGCAAACTACAAAACATGAGAGAAAATAATGGAGGCCCAAGTAAATGGAGAGATACTCTATGTTTATGGGTCAGAAAACTCCATCATATTATTAACACCTCCATTTTCTTCAAAATGAATCAGAGATTCAGAGCAATTCAGATAAAAATCTCAGGCTGTTCTGTAGAAATTGATACACTGCCACTAAAATTAATATGGAAGAGCAAAGAACCTAGAACAATGATGAAAAAGAACAAAGTTGGAAAACCATAATACTACCTGATCTCAATATATACTATGGAGCTATAGTAGTGAAGAAAGTAACAAATTCGTATCAAGGCAAGGGTATAGATTAGAACAAAATAGAGAGTCCGGAAATAGACCCACACATGTATGGACTACTGCTTTCTGACAAAAGTGAGAGGGCTGTTAGAAGCTGAAAGTTTCTCCTTTAAGATTGGGAACAAGACAAGGATGCCCACTCTCCCCACTTTTATTCAACATAGCTCTGGAAGTCCAAGCCTCAGCAATCAGACAACACAAAGAAATAAAAGGCATCCAGATTGCTAACAAGAAGTTAAACTGTCACTGTTTGCAGATGACATGATACTGTATATACAAAACCCTAAAGAATCCACTCCAAAACTACTAGATCTAATATCTGAATACAGCAAAGTTGCAGGATACAAAATTAACAAACAGAAATCTGTTGCCTTCCTATACACCAAC